CGCGACCCGACCCCGGATAAGCGGAGGAGAATGGATGGATGGATGGATGACCAAAGTTGTTAGCGGTTTGAGGGGTTGTGCAGTCTACTTGGATGATGTGGTTGTTTATAGCCATAGTTGAGATGAACATTTTAACCAGATTCGGGCACTTTTTGATCGCTTGGCCAATGGAAATCTAACACTGAATCTTGTTACCTACAGTTACCTATTTAGGCAAAGTTGTTGGGCAAGGTAAATTTCGTCCTATCTCAGCAAAAGTTTCAGTAATTTCGGAATTCCCAGTGCCTACTACCAAAAAAGAACTTATGAGGTTCTTGGGGCTCGTAGGTTATTACCGTTCATTCTGCAGAAACTTCTCAAGTGTAGTCACTCCTCTCTCTGATTTATTGAAAGCAAATGTTAAGTTTATTTGGTCTCCTTCGTGCCAGAAAGCATTTGAAGATGTAAAGTCTGTTCTCTGTTCAGCTCCTGTACTGCTTGCACCTAGTTTCAATCAGCCGTTAAAGCTGCAGGTTGATGCCAGCCACGTTGGGGCTGGAGCTGTTCTCTTACAGGCTGATGAACAGGGGATTGACCATCCCATCAGTTTCTTTTCCAAGAAATATAATTCGAACCAGCTTAACTATTCAGTAATAGAAAAAGGAAGCGTTGGCTTTAATATTTGCTTTACAGCACTTCCAGGTGTATATAGACTCTGGAACATGCCTGACCGTTTATTCCGATCCCAACACTCTAACATTTCTAAACTCTCTCCAGAACCCGAACCAGCGGCTCATGCTTTGGGCCCTGTTCCTGCAGCCATATCACCTTGACATTAAACATATCAAGGGAACAGAAAACCTCATGGCTGATGCCCTGTCCCGTGCCCCTGTTTAAGACCTCTTCTATCTCCTCTAGTCTCTCTCCTCTTAATTTGCTCCCAGGCGCTGGGTTGCTGATCTGAAAGTACCTCAACGGGCTTCCTTAGAAGAGCTATAAACCGTTGGAGCGTCATCAAGAAGGAATCGGCATCCATTGTTAGCACCAGATCCAGGTGGACGGCCCGAGTTGTGAAACACTTGAAAAGGATGCCCCACCTCTTCTCACTGCGTTGCCCGACCTTAATGAGCATAGGCCCGAAGCAGTCCATCCCAGTTGAGTAAAAAGCAGGCCGGAAAATCCTCAAGCTTGACGGGGGGGAAATCTACCATTCCTGGTATATGGGGCTCTCCACTTCTTACACCCTGGACAGTGCTGATGTCTCCTGACTGCTTCTCTATCTTTCAGTATCCAGTACTTCCTGCGGAGCTCTGCAAATACACGTTCAACCCCCAGGATGATGCGCCTGCGCATCACAGTGCTGGATTAGGAGCTTTGTGACTGGGGTCCTGAAGTATCGGATGTAGAACTTCAGAGCTCAGGCCCTCACATCTACGAAGTCTACCTCCCATTCTGATCACGTCAGAATCCTCGTCGTACTCAGGAGCGAGAGTGAGTAGTCGGCTACTGGATGGGATGGCCTTTCCTGCTTTTAGTAGTGTCCCATTGAAAGCTATCTACCTGAGCATGTCTCAGCAGGGCCAGTTCTGCCCTTTGGGAGTCATCGGCAGCAGCATGGTCAGTGATAGCAGCCGCCCCATGCAGAGACTGCGTGGTGGCTTTCAGGAGGTCCTGATAAGTGCTGAGCTGTTGGATGTCAGGTATTGTTGGACTGCTTGACACCATCGACAGCCCGCAGAACACCGTCTTCCTCAGCTCCTCTACTTCCTCTGTAAATTTTCTCACTGGTACCTTCGGCCAGTGGTTGGTCTGCAGTTGAAGAAACAGTGGTTTCCCTTTCGTGATGTCGTCTGCAGGATTGGTTCCTCAGTCGATGTAGCGCCAGGATGCTGGGTCAGAGAGCTCTTGAATCTCCGCAACTCTGGTTCCCACAAACACCTTATACCGACATGATTCTGACTGGAGCCAGTTGAGTACTGTTGTCGAGTCTGTCCAATACACCACCTCCTGGACCTCAAGTGTGAGCTCTTTCTTTAAAACTGAAGACAGTTGTGCTCCCGTCAGAGCTCCAGATAGCCTCAGCATCCTGTCTGGACCTGGTAATGAGTCACTCACTCTGATAAGGTAAGGTATCCATCTGCCACAGTCTCTCGACATGGCGAAAGAGCTCGGCTTCTGGTGAGGCACAGGAAATGAAAAGGCACTGCTTTGGCACCAATGAGCAGCAGTGGCGGATCCTTGAGATGCTGGTGTTCCTCCTGTAGTGCTTTTACCAGGTAAGTGTGGCGGGCGAGGCCAAATTCCTGGGCTCTGTGTATCTGGAAGGTCTTACCAGGCTGCGATGCAGGAGCCACAGAGAATGACATGTGGCACCATGAATGGTACAAACTTCTTGCTGGACAGTGCGGAGTGCGAGGTCCTCAGGTTACCCTTCAAACCCCAAGCACTCGGCTGCCTGAGTATTGTACGCTCCGAACCATCATCTAATATAGCGTAGGTCTCGATCACCTTCATATCACTCTTAAGGATGCAGTTGGTTGGTCGATCCACATAAAGCGTCTCAGAGATGGAACTTACCAAGCAGGCACTTTCTTCGGCCGAGCTGAACTTACCAGATACAGGTGTATTTTTGCTGGTAATGACTTCATGCAGTTAGTAGTGTCTGAAGCACACAGTAAAGAACAGATTGTACTTTTCGTAGAGCATAAACATTGGAGAAAACACAGCCCTAAAATAGAGTGTAGGGAGGATGCTCAAGCTATGGATGAACTATGGAGACGGCCTTAGTTTTAGAGTTTTTTGTTTTTGAATAGCGCAGAGGTTCGCGCTGGTTTAAGAGTTTAGTGTTTAAGCGATGCAGACGTGCACGCAGAGTTGTAAAGTTACGGGTTCATGTCAATAGTGGTAAAGAGCTATGCAGTCTGAAGATGGTGGATCCCGTATCTGTCAGACATAAGTCAGTGTGCAGATTTGCTGAGTCATGCTCTGCAGTGCTTTACGTAGTGTAAGTTAAGAGTTTAGTTTCGTGCGACAGAGGTACGCACTGAGTTGTGTTATAAAGTTACATGTTAATGTCAATAGTGGTAAAGAACTATGCTATATGAAGATGTTGGGTCCTATGTCTGTCAGATGTAATCCAGTGTATAGATTAGCTGATAACGTGTTCACTGGTTACTTTATGTAATGCTGGGGAATAGTTTGACTGGCAGGTTTTAGTTAGTTGTGAATGGCCAAGTGAAGATTTTGTTTACCCGACGTATGGTACAGAAAAAACGGTGTTAATGCATATGCCTATAAAAGTAGCAACAGATTCAATGGTACCGGGGGAAGCGCTTCAACATAAATTGGTAACATATCAGTGTTTGATTCGTCCCAAACACTCTTAACGATTTTCCTTTAATCACACTCCTTACGTGTCCAATACACGTCAGTTGGGAGGGCATAACCTACAACAATTTGTTTGACTTTTATTTTCTTCTGCCCGGACGTATACACACTATCTAGGACCTCAATTTCATAAGTATTAGTTCATCAGCTGAACAGAATTCCCTATACCTGTATGCCGGCGGGGGTTCATGTTTTGTCTGTCTGTGTCTTAGGAAGAATCGTGCCTGTCCGCATGGTTTGGTTCGCTTTTTTGTTAAGTGTTGTATGTTAGGCTGCCTATCACGCTTTATTGTTGATTGGTCTTTGCAGTTGACAGAATCTTAGTTCCAAAAGGGTTCACCACCCATGGGACGGGCCAAAAGGTTCGGGTGCATTGTGCACCCTTGGCGGACCGATCCCCGGCTGCAGAAGCTGGCTCTAGGGACGTGGAATGTCACCTCTCTGGTGGGAAAGGAGCCTGAGTTGGTGTGGGAGGCGGAGAGATTCCGGCTGGACGTAGTCGGTCTCGCCTCGACACACAGCTCTGGCTCTGGAACCAGCCTTCTCGAGACGGGTTGGACGCTCTGCTACTCTGGAGTTGCCGAGCAGGAGTGGGCATACTCATTGCCCCCCATCTCGGTGCCTGTAAGTTGGGGTTTACCCCAGTGAACGAGAGGGTAGCATCCCTTCGCCTTCGGGTGGGGGAACGGGTCCTGACTGTTGTTTGCGCCTATGCGCCTAACGGCAGTACAGATTGCCCACCCTTTTTGGAGTCCTTAGTGGGGGTACTGAAGGGTGCCCCCTCTGGGGACTCCGTTGTTTTGCTGGGGGACTTCAACGCTCACGTGGGCAATGATAGTGAGACCTGGAGGGGCGTGGTTGGGAGGAATGGCCCCCCCAGCTTGAACCCGAGTGGTGTTTTGTTTTTGGACTTCTGTGCTCGGCACGGATTGTCCATAACGAACACCATGTTCAAGCATAAGAGTGTCCATATGTGCACCTGGCACCAGGACACTCTAGGCCACAGCTCAACGATCGACTGTTGTCGTTTCAGCTGATCTGCGGTCGCATGTTTTGGATACTAGGGTCAAGAGGGGGGCGGAGCTTTCCACTGACCACGGAGTCCCCTGTTAGGCGGAGCTTTAACTCCCACCTCCGGGAGAGCTTCGAACACGTTCCGGGGGAGGTGGGGGACATTGAGTCCGAGTGGGCCATGTTCCGCGCCTCTATTAATGACGCGGCCTCCCGGAGCTGCGGTCGCAGGGCTGTCGATGCCTGTCGTGGCAACCCTCGAACCCGCCGGTGGACACCGGCGGTGAGGGATAGTCCAGGCTAAAGAAATTGTCCTATCGGGCCTTTTTGGCCTGTGGGACTCCAGAGGCAGCCGATGGGTATCGGCAGTCCAAGCGACATGCGGCTCGGGTGGTCGCCGAGGCAAAAACCCAGGCGTGGGAGGAGTTTGGGGAGGCCATGGAAAAAGACTTCCGTATGGCCTCGAGGTGATTCTGGTCCACCATCCGGCATCTCGGGGGAGGAAGCAGTGCCCCACCAACACTGTTTACAGTGCGGACGGTGTGCTGCCGACCTCAACTCGTGACGTTGTGGATCGGTGGGCGGAGTACTTCGACGACTTCCTCAATCCCACTGGTGCGTCCTCCATTGGAGGGGCAGAGCCTGGGGATCCGGAGTTGGGCTCTCTAATCTCCGGGGCTGAGGTCACCGAGGTAGTCAAAAAGCTCCGCGGTGGCAGGGCTCAGGGGGTGGATGAGATTCAGCCGGAGTTCCTCAAGGCTTTGGATGCTGTGAGGCTGCGTTGGCTAACGCGACTCTGCAACATCACGTGGACATCAGGGGCAGTTCCGCTGGATTGGCAGACTGGGGTGGTGGTCCCCCTATTTAAAAAGGGGGACAGAAGGGTGTGTTCCAACTATAAAAGGGGATCACACCCTTAAGCCTCCCTGGGAAGGTCTATTCAGCGGTTCTGGAGTGGAGGGTCCATCGGATAGTCGAGTCTCGGATTGAGGAGGAACAGTGTGGTTTTCGTCCTGGCCGTGGAACGCTGGACCTGCTCTATACCCTCAGCGGGGTCCAGGAGGGTGCATGGGAGTTTGCTCAACCAGTCCACATGTGTTTTGTGGACTTGGAGAAGGTGTTCGACCGTGTCCCTCGGGGTATCCTCTGGGGGGTGCTCCGGGGGTATGGGGTACCTGGCCCTTTGTTACGGGCTGTTCGGTCCCTGTACGACCAGAGTCAGTTTGGTTCGCATTGCCGGTAGTAAGTCAAATCCATTTTCGGTGGGAGTTGGGCTCAACCAAGGTTGCACTATGTCTGCGGTCCTGTTCATAACTTTTATGGACAGGATTTCTAGGCGCAGCTGAGGTGTTGAGGGTGTCAGTCTTGGTGGCCTTAGGATCGCATCTCTGCTTTTTGCAGATGATGTGTTCCCGTTGGCTTCATCAGGTCGGGACCTACAGCTCTCGCTGGAGCGGTTCGCAACCGAGTGCGAAGCGGCTGGGATGAGGATCAATGCCTCCAAGTCTGAGACCATGGTCTCTCACTGGAAAAAGGTAAAGTGCCTTCTCCGGGTCGGAGTGGACGTCTTTCCCCAAGTGGAGGAGTTCAAGTATCTCGGGGTCTTGTTCGCGAATGGGGGTAGGGAGCGTGAGATCGATAGGCGGATCTGCAGTAATGCGGGCGCTGTACCGGTCTGTCGGGATGAAGAGAGAGCCTTAGCCTAAAGGCAAAGCTCTCAATTTATCGGTCGATCTACGTTCCCACCCTCGTCTATGGTCACGAACTTTTGGTAGTGACTGAAAGAACGAGATCCCGGATACAAGCGGCCGAAATGAGTTTCCTCCGTAAGGTGGCTGGGCTCTCCCTTAGAGATAGGGTGAGAAGCTCGGCCTCCCGGGAGGGGCTCAGAGTAGAGCCGCTGCTCCTCCACATGGAGAGGAGCCAGTTGAGGTGGCTCGGGAATCTGATCAGGATGCATCCTGGTCGCCTCCCTGGGGAGGTGTTCCGGGCTCGTCCCACCGGGAGAAGGCCCAGAGGAAGACCCAGGACACGCTGGAGGGACTATGTGTCCCGGCTGGCCTGGGAATGCCTCAGGATCCCCCCGGAGGAGCTGGCCGAAGTGGCAGGGGAGAGGGAAGTCTGGGTTTCCCTGCTTCGGCTGCTGCTCCCGGGACCCGACCCCGGATAAGCGGAGGATAATGGATGGATGGATGGTTAGTTCCAAAAGGCCTGAGATTCCTGCCACTGCTGCAGACAAACACCTTTCTTTTTTCTCTCTCTCTTGCCCTTTCCTCTCTCTAATTGCCTTCTCCCTTTTCTCCCTTACAAGATACTAGGCTGTATGCAGAGTCTCAATAGAGACACAACTACTTTCTCTCGTTGGATGCCCAGATTTAATGGAAATTTTGTTATGTGGGTCATTTAGTGAACTTGAATGACTCCTGTTACATTACCAAAACTCCCTGGACACCTATTTTTAGTTACAAAAGTCAGTACTTTATTTTCCTTTTGGGGTTATTTAGTTTATGTTCATTTTTGAGAAATGTGACTTTTCTGTTTAGAACAGAGTCCAAACTTTAGTGGATGACGGCCTTGTCTTATTTTTAATTCTCTACATTTCGTTATTATAAGAATAGTTTTTGTAGCGTTGGGTGTGTCCTAAGGACGGACTGCTTTGTGCCTTTTAGGGGAGGTACCAAAGGGGGGCAATAACTGCAGTGGGGGATGTACAGCTGCAGCTGCATCCTCCCATACTGTGTCAACTAAGATACATAAACTACTTAAAAATAAAAAAAACATTTAAATAAAAAGGGGAGGAAGCTGATGAAGTAATAAGTGTCTCTAAAAGAAGTTTGACTAATTTGTATTAAACAGACATAATTGTTACAAAAATTAAGGAAAAACTGCAATTGAACTCTTCAGATTCCGAGGATGCTGATAAGGAAGAAGTGAAACCGCGTCACCTCAATTCAGACCTGACCTCCCACATCAAATAACAGCACATCTGGAACTCCATAAAATGCCAGTGTAATCTATTCAACAGGGTCTTTAAATACACATCAACAAAACCATATTTAGATTTTGACCCTCATATAAGGACACCCACACCCACATAGATCCCGCTCTAACACATACACTCACTCACAAACATTCAAACACTTACACACACACATAGTAACACTTAGCAACAGACTGACCTTCTGAAATAAAAAAGCGATTGGACTATTCATAATATTTTTCCTGATATTTGAAACACGACAGTTGAATATTTAGTTTGTCATCCTGTGCAGGTGATTTGTATTTTAGTTTTTAGGTTATAATTAATTACTTGTTTAATGGTTTTGTGTTGTACATAGGAAATTTATGGTGACTGACGTTGAAAAATTGTTGTAACCGCAACTTATTTCCTCACAGTTTGAGAAGAACAGTAAATTGAAAGTTTCGTATTTACAAAAGTGTACAAGGGATTACTCCAGTTGATATTATACAAAGGAATAACCCACTTATTAAAGACATTGAGAAAACGTTGAAAAAAAGGAGTAAGCGGTGGCCAAAGAAGATTGGCCAGAAAAATTAACTTTCAATCTGAAAGTGATCGAAACAATGTAAGTGCTGGTGTCCTCACATAATCCTCAGCTACCAGTAATCAGCCAAGAGGGTACCTACCACATCGAAGATGAAGAAGAACGCATCATAGAGACTGGAACGGCAAAAACAACCAATACTATGTACCCCTCATACAAAAGCAAAAGAAGAGAACTTAAATGAAGCCAGAAAAAGGGATATCAGCAGACAATGGATAAAATAGCACTTAACCAAAGTGACTCAGAAGAAGCCCTCGGAAGACATGATCGAAGCATGAAGAGAGTATTGGGGAAAGCAGAGACAAGAGGAAGTGGTCATTCAAAGAAGAGAGACACGGTGACCTTTGAAACAAGTGGAACAGACTGACAGCAGTAAGGGAGACTCAGATGAGCCACACTTCATGGGATACGACCCCATATTACATTGACACATGAAATGCAACATATTCAACAAGCTTTAAGGACGATTGAAGCTGAAAAAGAACAATGCCGCTCAGATCTGAAATGTGCTATTAGCCTAGAAAGACAACAACATCTAGAAGAAAAACTCCCAAGCATCAAAGATGACAGAAAAAGGACAGCGAAAAGAGAAGGCCCTACAAAGTGACCATGGCAGATATAATGTACGATCAAGGAAGATAAAGAAAATGACCCCTGTATTAGTGCGAGGACAGAACCTCGACTACAAACCATGGCAGAACACAGACATGACATACATAATTGAGAAGTTACCTATCCTACAAGATGGAGCCCATCCATGGATTTCGAAATTAGAAGAGGCTTAAATGGGGACTCAAGCAGCCATGGGAAACATAAAGAGACTCCTGGCCAACCTTATTGGAGTGCCAGCTATGGAAGAGACTTTGGAGAAAGCAGAACTGTGTAAATATCCTGTGACTACAGTACATGATGCAGATCTATTTGTATTTGGGGAAGAATGCGTAGAGCTCTTAGAGAGACATTTCCTACCAACATACACCCAGATAACATCATCATTGAGCCCATGGGAGAACAGGAAAATCCCAGAGCCTATATGGCAAGAGCACTAATTTTGAGAAATGTCACTGGAAACGATCCTGATTAGAACCAAATGGACCAATCTATTTTACAAGTCGATTTACAGGAGGGACTTCCCTTACCAGTTAGGGGCATACTAGCTGAAGTAGAAGGACTTGAAAGTATGACCAAAAGTGTCTACACCGATCATGTGGCTCATCAAGCCGACCTACAACGAAAGAAGGAACAAGACCAGAGGAAACAAGACCAAGAGACAATAAGGAAACTCACACAGATACAAATGTCCGATAACAAAAAGAAAAACACAAGCCATGATATCACAGAGCTTGGCCATACATTGATTTATTCATTTCAATTTGAGAAGGGGACCCTGATTCGATGGAGGTGGTGCCAGTTAAGGCAAAAGCCTGTTTTTCCTTTAACAACATCTGTGGTGTTGCAGGAATGTTGGTGGGCATATCTGAATGTGACACTTATATGATTCAACTTAGGAAAAGGGATAACAACAAGGTGGATGAATTAACAACAGTGGTTTTCCATGATCCAGAACATTGTTAATATTTTCCATTTTATCCTTATTAACATACATACCTATTTACTTAATATCTGCTTTTAACTGGATTTTTTTCATTAGATTTTTCTATTACTCTGTTGTTAGTATGATTTTGTCAATATCCTAACATTTAATGGACTATTGTATCATTGCAGTGGGGCTGCCAGTTGACAAAGTGTATTGACTCTGGAGGAGTGTTCCACTACGCCTAACAGGGAGATGGGTGGTGTATCATTTATGGGCCATAGGACAGGACAGGTAGACATTGATGACTACACGATGCTAACACACAGATATAGGAGCACAGGAGGGGCGTTTAGTTTTAAGGCAATAGCTGGAGTTATGTGGACAACAGACAGAGTCTGGGCACATCGGTGCTTATTTTTGTAAGCGGGTGGTTTGCTATCAAACCACCCACTTCCATGGAGGAAAGTCGTAGTCTTGTAAGACTTGAGCTCAGGAAGCCTCTCTTTCCGAGGAGCTGGTTTCTCTGTCCAAGTAGTCACTGTACTGGTCTCCAATCACCTGGACGTGCACCTCATACTCAAGCCACTCACCTAAGTCAAGTGTTGGAACAGGAGTGTGGATGGGATTCACAAATCTCTGGAAGTTGGCTCTTGGCAACTTAGCTAAGAGGGGAGATACGTGTGAGCCGCACCTCAATTCTGTTCGACCCTGTTCTCCCAACTGGTGCAACAGGCCGACAAGTGCACAGACTTGGAGGGCGAACGACTTGAGGGATCTGAGGTCGCCACTTTTGATGGTAGGTCCATCCATCAGTTTGGTGATCCTCTTCAAGGCCAGATGTTGAGGTTGACCGTACATTTCAGGGAGTGCTCTCATGGTGTCACTAAACGGGAATGGACGGTTGCTGTACGAATCTGCTATGAGCAGTGCTTCCTCACACTTAAGGTGATTGGTCAATATCTGAAACTTAAAAGTGTTCTGGAGACTCGTATGGGAGTGTGTTGTCCAAAGCTAACTTTAACCTTACAGACTCACGTGGGTCTTCGTGCACAAGATTAGGAATAGTCGGTTGAGGTCCACGATAGGTCTCTATCGGTGGGGGTCTTCTAAGGGGGGCTGGAATCTGAAGCCCTTCATCCGGTCGCAGATGATCAGGATAACCAGGGAAGCGGTTATCCCGGTTCCTGCTCTGGTCAGTGTGACCATAATAGCGATATTCATGAGCGGGACGGTAACGACTATCAAGACAGCTTTGACAATCAAAAGAAGGATAGTTGGAATCCTGTCTGTAGTAGTTATCATCAGGGTGGGCTCCCAGACTAGGCAATCTATGATATCTGCCAGGCTGACTGCAAACAGCACGAGGTGTTGGGCATGGGGTGCGTTTGTTTACATATAGCTGCGCCGACTGTCTCCCAGAAGTAGAATGTTAAATTGGTCAGAGTTTTTCACGTTTTACTGTGAGAAGGGTGAAGTCTTGGGATTGGGGGGATGACTCACCAGAGGATGAACGTGGCTTTGCTGTGCCCTGATAGTCCAACCCTGCTCGCTTTAGACTGTGAACTAGTTCCTCCATCATGTCATTGTGACCGTCCCGTAGGGG